GCCTTCCAGCCACAGATATATTGGTTGATTTGTGACTGGATGTAAAAAATATGCTTTATTTGAATTAATAGATAAATCAACTCGAAAGATTATTAACCATGCTAATATCTTGAACTTTAAACTTGTGTTTGTGTAACCTCCTGTATAAGACTTGTTATAAGGAAAAAATGTACACATTAGATATTGCGTAGAGGTTAATGTGCCCTTTTAAGTGGTTAATTTGTATTGCCATTACTATTTATGTAGGTAATAATAGACGGATTACAGCAATATTAATTATAATTATTTCGACTTCAAGATAATGATTCGTCATTATCTAGTTCAAACGTTTTTATATAAACTGACTAGTTTATTATAACCATTTCATGATAAGGTAAACCACAACAAAGATAAGTCATACTTCTTGGAAACAGTATCACTAATAATTATTAATAATAATCATTGTTACCAAGTAATGACCTTTATAGTTAATGGAAAAATTGGGATTATATTAACATTTGTTTTTTCAAACATATAATGGCATTTTATCGAGTTCTGTGAAATAATTTGAACGAAGTCGACAATGTGAATTAGTTAGCGAATGCTTTAACTCTTTCTAAACGCTTTCCTGGCTGAGGGAGTGACGAAGTCACTGATAGGTCCTTCCATTTTTTGGAAACACCATTTCCGACATTTTCCCAAGTTTCATTCAAATAAATGACGGTCTATCCTTTTTTTAATTGCTAGATTGCAGTAAGAGCTTAAGTAGGTATTCGTTGAATTCTGGCAGGCAACGGTGTGGGGAAATCTTTTTTAGACATCTAACATCACCGAGTAAGACACCCTGGTATCTTTTGGCCGAGTAGGATATTAGGGAGAAGATCCCTCGGTTATGCCGAATTAACTGTGTTTTGGATTAACCTGACACCAGTGTTCCAGAGTAGTGGTCTTTCCACCCATAAACAACTAAAATCCTTATATTAACTGTTACCTAAAAGAAGAATAACTATATTATATTAAGGAAAAACTTACTAATAACTATACCTATCACCGTAAACCAGAAAAAAATTGTTTAAGAATTGCCTATTACCAAAAGAAATTAAAAGAACGAAAATATTTCCGTGAGACAATTAACTAATTTTGGTACTTATCGGTTCTTGGCTCTCGAGAAAAAAGAGACAATATTTCAGATCCCTGGTTCAATTTCTTCCCCTGTCTTCCTGTCCCTTCTTCTTCATCGATCCAGAGATCAGACAGTGTACTTATCTCCATTCTCTATCTCCTCTCAACATTATGTTTACCATGATTCTTTCATCCAGCCTGAAACCCATTCGTCTCTCGAAGTCTCCCCTTTTAAAAGTGATATTTAGCGAAAATTTTTTACAATGTGGCAACCGTGAAATTGTAGTGATAACACAGTAGAAGCACCTGTTAATCCCGCTGTTGAAAATTGTCATTTAGAAGAGGTTGTTCCCATTCCAGGGGAATAATCAGAAAAATATTAAAGAACCCACCTGCAATTTAATGGGAAAGAAATAATTAATATTTTTTTTAATTTTAACCGATAGGAAAATGAAAATTTAACTAATTTCGAAAAATTCGAAAATTTATTAGTAATCCAATACTTCCAAAAACTAGAAGTGACAAGTGACAATATATGTCAATCTTCTTAGTAAACTCAATGAAGATGACACTGGAATTAAGAGCGGTAGAACAATTTTGTGATAGTTTGCCGCATAGGATTTAGGTTTAACAAAATAAATAAAAAGTAGATAACTATGGAATCTACCGTCTACACATGTGGCGAACACGGAATATTTACCAAAAATAACAGTATCGAAGAGAAAATAAATCAATTTTTATAAACAATGGCCAAAGTCTGAAAATGTAGTTTTTTATCTGTAGAATTTTTTTCCTTTTTGATTATATTAGGAGACATGTTTGTCTTATTGTCTATTGTGTTACAAAGAGACAGTTAATTTGAAATTAAAAAAATTTAAATCCATTAATAATTTGTCAAGATAATTTCAAATTTAATCTAATGTTAATTTTGCAATAATGAGCGTAAGTAACATTAACACCTTGATAATAAGGCTATTATGTGTCTAAGTGTGCAAAATTTAAAACATCGGTTTGTCAGTTAACGATTTATTGTTAAATGTTGTTAAATATTTATCTCAGATATCAAAAGTTTACAACACGTGTTACTGCCTACGGCATGCTTATACAGTGATTATTAGTGATTGAGCAAAGAGTAATGCATTTTTCAATATTAAAACGACAAAGAAAAATGAAAAACCAAATTATTTTTTCAAAACAGGTCTTTAAATATCTTTTCATCATTTGACGGGCGCATGCGCATCCTCCATGTTTTGGCAGTAATTTGATCAACAATAAAGAGGTTAGGCACAGTCACTTGTCAGATATATTTTGCTTTGTTTATAGTCCGTTGAAATGTTACATATTTTTGACTCAATTTTATTTTTTGATATATGGGGGGTAATGACCTTGTTCCGCGGTTGCCATCGTGGAAAAAGGGGTGCAAAAATTTTTGACAAAACAGTTTAAACAATAATTTTCTTAACGAATTTTCTTATGGGCCTTTTTTTCTGGTCATTTTACAATAAAATGACATCAGAACAATATTTTTTTAGAAGGTTTTTCCACGAATAATTTGCGCTACAAATTTGTTTAACTTTCATCACCATTATATCTTCTTTTTTGGGCAATATTCATAATGGCACTATTCCATTTTTCTGGAGTAACTCCTTCAAATAGGCAGGCATCATAAAGGGTTTTTGAAGCTTTTATGACGCATTCGTCTTCTAATTTTAGCATTTCACTTACAATGCCATCTTCTGCAGGTGATCTGCATCATAAAGGGTTTTTGAAGCTTTTATGACGCATTCGTCTCCTAATTTTAGCATTTCACTTACAATGCCATCTTCTGCAGGTGATTTGCTGCTCTTCATACCTTTCAACGCTGATTATATTTCCTCTTCGGTTATATCTGGAAGTTCCTCTGATCCTTGATTTTGTATGGCTGGGATTTCCACCTCTGGAATGTGAGCATCTCGACGATATAATGTTCTATAGTACTCTTCGATAATTTTTATAATTTCTTGTTCATATACAGCATGTCCTTGTCTATTTTTAGCTTATAAATGTTCTTGGTTCCTGTCTTCAACTTTCGTTTTAGAACTTTAAGGCTTTTATTTTGTTCTTTGTACAATTTAATAATATATTATAATATATTGTGAATCAAATTGTGTGAGAAATCATAACATAAACCAAATTCTTACTCTAGAAAAGCGGCAACACTTTAAACAATTTTGTCAATCAATGAATTGTCATTGAAATGTGAACTATTCCCGTATCAGTGGCGTACTGTTGTCTAATTTATTTAATTAAAATTATTATCTTATGGAATATTAAACTTACACAATTTAATATTTAACATAAAATTTATATTATTCATAATAACAAATGTTTTTCGTTATTTAATCAATATAATTCTAAAATTCCCAATATCATGATTACATTTTTCTGATTATTATACCATGTTTACACCTATGAAAGATCGAGCAGTTCCGTATGGGTGTTGTATTATTAGCTGTGTTAAAGAAATATGAAATCTAAGGTTGATGTTCTGGAAATTGTAAATACAAGTGACGTCACTTTGTATAAAAAATGGTATAACATTGTTCTGATGTCATTTTACTGTAAAATGGCCAGAAAAAAGTTAAAATGCCCAAAAGAAAATTTGTTCAAAAATGTTCAGTTATTTTAATTTTTTTTTGTAACTTTTATATTTTCCATTTTATATAGAAAAGCACCGTAAAATAAAATAAAATAAATTAAAATAAAATAGAGTAACATGAAATAAAACAATACAAAATAGAATCAAATAGAATAAAATAGAGTAAAATTAAATATTTTGAATAAAGTTGAAGAAAATATAATAAAATAAAATAAAATAGAATTAAAATAAAATAGGATAAAATAGAGTAAAATAGAATAGAATACAATAAAATTAAATAAAATGTAATAGGGCAAGTAAAATAAACTAGAGTAAATAGAAAAAAAACAAAGTAAAATAAAACAAAATGAAATAAAGAAAACTGAAGTTAAATAAAATAAATTAGAATATAATGGGATAAAGTAGAATAAAATAGAATAAAATAGAGTAAAATAAAATCATAGAAGTTAGATAGTTATTAATTGGATGCCATATTTATGACTTAAAAATTTTGACCGGTCGACAATCGTGACGAATCGAATTCTAGTATCGATCTTTTATTGAGAGATATTATTTTAATTTTTTACTTTTCGTTTAATGTCCGTATTTTGTTATTTCTCATGCAAATTTTAATTTAGATCTGCTTATAACTCATATATATGTTAATTAGAAACGAATTCATCGAGAATAGTGGTAAATCGATGTGAAGAACCGCTATTTCGTGACCCCTTCTCGTGGCGCTAGTTCCGTGACGCTCGTTTGAGCATCTTACTCTTACTATAGAGAAAAAATTAATACAATGCTAGTATATAAGCTTCTTAAATAGGATTAATCAGACAGTATCTCTATACGTAGTTTTTAATAACTATGCCCCCCTATGGCTTAAAATGATCAGATACCTGTGGTAAATATTTATAGTAATATTTTCATTTCTAGACTGAGTATTTTTTCAAGTATTTAACTGTGAGTTGATTACGGTGCTAATTGTCGCTGCGGAGATAAGGGTCGATGGGCAGTGAATACTTATTCTTTTTTATTTTATCTTATATATTGTATCTAATAAAATTTAACTTAAAGAAAATATAGTGTATTTTTTCAATTCATAATTTAGGTGAAAAACGAGTCTAAAGAATATGTAAAATATTTTACTTCCAGTAGCTTTAAGTTGAGCAAGCTACTTATTTCTATATATGAACATTAGTTAATAACTTTTAATATTCATTTTTTGTATCACGATTTTGCATTTTTTGATAAAAATATTATTTTATTGATTATTTTTTAGTACTACACAACAAATATGACTCATCGAAATCGTCTAGCTATACAGCAAATGGAACTAAGTTTGAAATCCACTATGGATCTGGAAGTCTTAGTGGATTTTTGTCTACGGATGTCGTTCAGGTAGGTCTTTTCATAAGATATATCTAAACTTTGAAAAGTTTGAAAGAATCTTTTTGTGTAATCTTAATTGGTAATCTGTTTATCTTTATTCCTTAATTTTTTTACTGTATAACATCCAAGTTGTTAATGAAAAATGTCAAGAGAAGAAAACAGCTTTTCTAAAGTATAGATCATTAACAAAGATAAGATCATATGAGGAATAGAAAATTTCGGACTTTGGCTGCCCTTATTTATAAATCTTCCAGGAAGAGATCCAAAGATCTACTAGATATGAATAGAAGTTATGTGTGAATTGAAAACCCTTTTCTACTGTAGTTTGAATGTCGTAATCTTCATTTTGTTTTACCAATATCTTCATTTCATTTTAGTCCATAAATATCTAGCAGACGTACCTACTGTCAAAATTTAAATACTTACTACAGAACCGGTATAATAATTTTCATTTAAAAATAGTTATTTTTATTAATTCCTACTCTCTGAATGCATGAAGATAAATAGATTATACGTGGAAATTATTACAGTTGTTGAACATGGGAGGACAATTATTATAGCTACAAAAACTATTACATATTATTAAAATTAGAAGTAAAAACATTTTTTACTGACCATTTTGGGTCATAAGTATCTTGTGTGCCATTTATACTACCTTACTTATCATCACAAAGTTTTCGAAAAGACGGTTTTATTTTTATCATTAAATACACTAAAATTATTTCATTTTCTTAATGGATCCAGTGTTTGACCAGCTTATGAATTATTTTGCAATCAATACTTGACGTTTTAGTTTAAGTAATTAATTTAATTAACAGCCTTACTTTTATGAATAATGATTACTCGCCGCTAATTGTGCAGGATATAGAGTCAAGTGGTGCAAAAACGAGACAATTTTAAAATCTTTTAATTCTTTGTGGCCGAAAAACCTGAAAAAACCAAAAAAATATGACCAAGGTTTTGTCATATTTCCCTGTATAGAGAAAGCCATGTAGTATATCTCACGGTAAAAAAAATTATAATGTTTATAATAAAGAGCGTAATTTTTTAAAAACGGTGTCTCGTTTTTAACCACTACTTAGGCTAAATATGAGACAGTGAGAGGTTAAAAATAAGACACTGTATTCTCTGCGCTTTTAGTTGTTTTATATGAGTGTGCAAATAATGAGCCACTGGGGAATAAAAACGATACGCATGCAAAGGTTTTAAGCGTTTACTAAACCAAATAACATAGTTAGGTTTTAAATTGTAATAATATTCTTAGAGAAAACTTACATAACTAAATACAAAAATATTTTTTATTAAACTAAAAAGAAAACAATTTAAAAAACAAGAATAAACCATACCTAATTCAAAACGCGGTAAAAAAGATTTTTATTGGATTTAAAGAACTAAAGTAAAAAAACATTATTGTAGGTACTTTGTACTACATATTATTGAACTACATACTTTTCAAAGTCGATAGAAAAGCAATATTGCTGAGAGATACGACTGGTCGTACTTTCTATTTCTGGCAGGGGCAGTTTCGTTTCTATGTCATTTTTGTCGATGAAGTAATTTTCCTCAATGGCTGGAAAAGTAAATTTAAATCCTTTGCGCCTTAGATATTTTACTTCTACATGGCTCTTAAAAATTTTAAGAATTTGTGCCACGTAGTAAACTTGCGTCTTCTTAGTATTAAATTTGGTTAGGATAAAATCATTTTTCCTAAGTTCATATGTTTCCGTAATTTCAATGTTTGTCTCCCCATTTTCTGAAGGCTCGTCATCACAGTCATCTTCGATAATATCTTCTAGAGTCAAATCCTCTACATCGCTTTCATCTTGGTAAACTTGCTGTTCGTCAATGCTGCTTTCACTGTCACTTTCAACTACTGTTTTATTCGCCTTTTGTTTCTTTCGTGATTTTGCAGATTTCTCACCTTTACGTTTCTTATTTTGTTCTTTCTCCTGTATTTCCTTTAAGTACTCTTCTGTTGTTAGGACTTTTGCCATAGGGTCTATCTTTCTTCTTGCTGTTATGTTTGGGGTTCTTCGAATTTTCTCCACTAGTAATAATTCAAAGGAGCAAGATGGCTTGGGAGAAGCACTGTTAGGTTGATCTGAAACAGACTCAATAAACTGTTCGGTTTGCGGCAGTGGAGTTTCTTCATCGCAATCTTCGAAAATATCAAGTGGATTTTTAAACATCCCATGTTCTTTATATCTAAGCAGCTTTGCAGGATCTAAGCGTTCTGCTGGATATCTGTTCTTATCGCATGGAAATATCCCAACCTTTTCAAAAGAAGATTTAATAATTTCTGCAGATAAATCTTCATTCCAAATGCTACAAATCAAATCACTAAATTCTCTTCTAGATGGTTTTCTCTGATTTTTTGCCAGTTAATCAAAGCTTCATTCCATTTCAATTTCAATGGACCAAAGCAGCATCTGTCAAGGGTTGCAGCAAGTCAATTGTATGAGCAGGGAGTTTCAATAAAGTTATATTTTCTTGCACATCCATTTCTATCGTCGATTTATCCAAATGGGTAACATATCCATCCCTTTTCAGAGGCTGCGTAGCATGTATTCGGTAAATCGGCCTTACCTAAAAAACATATTTTTATTACTAACTATATTTTAACAAAAGGTTGACATCTTACCTTTTCAACTGCTCCATAAATTTTGCCCTTGGAAAATTATTAGAGGAGGCAACAAAATACCACTTTCTGAAATGCAGGCCATTACGGTTGCATTCTCCTTTCCTGGCCCCTCTATGTTCCGGTGAACTTTCTGACCAATACCAGCAACGCCTTTTATTCTGGTTGGATCGGAAGAAAAACTGGTCCCGTCTAAATTCCAGATATGACCGGGCTTGTCTTGCCATTTCAAATCAGATATGCAAGTATTCAGGCGATCGTAAAAGCCAAAGATGATGGATGGATCACTTGTAGCTGACCTACATTTTTCCAGTTGCTCAAGCTTTTTTGACTTAGTCTATTACGCTTGCAAAAATTTTTAAACCACTCTTTGCCAGGCTTTCCTTCCTTAAACTGAGTAGTAAGGTGGTTTTCTTATACATAGGTTTGAACTATTGCTTGTATCTCCGGTTTAGTGAGAGCAAACCCTTAGTTTGCCATAATTTTTTATCACTTAAGTCTTTTTCAATTTCTTTGGTTAGAAAAGTTTTTCCTCCCTGTTTACCAAGTACACGAGTACGTCTTCTCGAAAGAGCAGATTTGTCCATTTTAAAATGTGTAGCTGCACTTCTAAGATATAAAGTGCCATCCTCTATTAGTTTTAGGGCTGTTTTCATGTCCTTTTTGTCGTAGGGGTGCTTTTTGGTAACGTGAACTTTCGGGATTGTTCTTAAAGGTATAAAAACTCCGTCTTGTTTTTTAACTGACACGTGCCTCGTTTTTAAACTTGGTGGTGTCTCGTTTTTGCACCTCTTATTTACGACGACGTGCTAGCTTGCCAACGAGTGAAGATAGACTAAACTCGTTACGGAATAACAAAGCCGCATGTGCTATTTTAGAAATCCGATACTTGCCGAGTCTTTAGGATCTCGTACAGCAGCGCAACAGGAAAAGTTCGTATACAATTTAAAAGATTTTTTAAGCAAAAGGCACAGTCAGGTGCGATTATACTGGCATTATACCTCAAGAGTGGCTGTTGTCTACATTCGTTACACTGCCAAAGAAATCTAATGCTAAAGAATGTTCAGAACATCGAACAATATCTTTATTGAGCCACCTACTAAAGATATTTCTAAAAATCATCCACAACCGAGTTAGTTTATCAAAAGTTGGAGTCAGATATTAGTAATACACAGATGGGGTTCAGAAAAGGGCTTGGTGCTCGAGAAGCTCTCTTCGGTTTAAATGTTCTCACACAAAGATGCCTAGACGTTAATCAGGAGGTACATACGTGTTTTATCGATTTTGAAAAAGCGTTTGACAGAGTACGCCATGATAAGCTTAGAGAGATTCTTGAAAGGAAGGACATAGATAATAAAGATCTGCGAATAATTCTCAATCTATATTGGAATCAGAAAGCTAACATCAAAATAGAAACTGAAACATCACAAGCAATAGAAATACGTAGAGGAGTACGACAGGGTTGCATTTTGTCACCTCTGTTATTTAATGTATATAGTGAAAGCATCTGTCAGCAAGCCCTTTTACAAGCAAACGGAGGAATCGTAATTAATGAAGAGATTGTAAATAATATTCGATACGCGGACGACACTGTACTAGTTGCAAGAACAGTAGAAGAATTACAAAGATTACTTACAGACATAAATATTGCTTAATTATGGTATAAATATCAATATTAAAAAAACCAAGTATATGGTCTTCAGTAAAAACATGACACAACCAGCGTATATTAGTATAAACGGCACTCAAGTTGAAAAAGTATCAAGTTACAAATACTTGGGAACTTTAATAAACGAAACTGGAGACCAAAACAGTGAAATAAAAAGACGTATCGAAATTGCCAGAGCCACCTTCATAAAGATGAGAAAATTCTTCTGCAACAGAAATATAAGCATCCCTCTACGATTAAGAATGCTGAGAGGCTATGTATTTAACACGCTATTATACGGTGTAGAGGCCTGGACTCTCAAACAGAACAACATGAAAAATATTGAAAGTTTCGAGATGTGGTGCTACCGTCGAATGCTGAAGATTAGTTGGGTTGAAAGAATAACAAACTGTGAAGTAATACGAAGAATAGGAAAAGACCCAGAGATTTTGTTAACGCTAAAGCGAAGAAAACTCGAATATTTTGGTCACCTGATGAGAGGACATAAATACGCATTACTTTAAAATATAATGCAGGGAAAAATAGAAGGAAAACGAAATCCAGGCCGTAGAAGAATGTCATGGTTGCGGAATTTGAGAGAGTGGTTTGGCTGCACCACTAATGAACTCTTTGGGTCAGCCGTAAACAAGGTCAGAATAGCCTTGATGATTTCCAATCTCCGATAGGAGTGGCACAAAAAGAAGAAGAAGATGCGATAGTTTTTTCTCATGTTTGTGTTTACGTTTATTTATTATTCATTACATACTTCCACATATATACTGTTGTATATATGTAGAAGTAATTTGTAACGTATGTTTTATAAGGTTATTGTTTTTTTGCATTAGGAAAAATTGAATGTCTTGTTTTTGACCGAAATTTGGGCTGTCTCATTTTTGCACCACTTAACTCTACAACATTTTAAAAGAGCAAATAAGAAGCATGGATTTTAAGACTGTCTTTGACAAAAATCATGTTAGGACAAAGAATATATTTCTTCAGTTTTATATTTTGTTCATTCTTGATTTTAGTTTGGAGACGTTGCGGTTAAGGATCAAACTTTTGCCGAAGCTGTCAGCGAGCCCGGTTTAGCTTTTGTAGCAGCTAAGTTTGATGGTATTTTGGGAATGGCTTATGACAGAATTTCTGTAGATGGAGTTCCTCCAGTATTTAACCAAATGCTCAAACAAGGTCTTGTTAAACAACCTGTTTTCTCATTTTACTTAAACAGGTAATACTGAATTTAGTATAGATATTTGAAATATTAATCCCACTAAAGAATTAGGAATTAAAAGTATTAGGATTTAAAAATCTGTTAATTCGTTATGAACGATGTCTCTCTATAAAAATTTATTGTGGTTTAACACTCTTGACTCAAAAATTTTTGTTTCCACAGATAATATATTGGTAAAATATGATACGTAACATCCTCGATTTTTTTTTAATTTTATTTATTTTACGGTTTGTGCCTTACCTCCGTCTTCCTTTGATTACGGCTAAACTGTGGAGTATATAAAAAATGTTTCAAACAAAACTGATGTATATCAAAAACATCTATAAATTGTCGAATTGAATTAATTATCGAATCAATTATTTAATCGAATTGAATCGAATCGGTTATCGAATTAAATTGAATCGGTTATAGAATTGAACCGACGATATTTGAATCATCGATTATAGAATTGAATTAAATCGATTATCGAATCGGTTATTCAATCAATTATCGGCTCGATTAGTAAATGGAATCGTTTATTGAATAAAGTCGATTATCGAGTCGCATCGCCTCGATTATCGAATCGAATAGAAATAAAATAGAATAAAATAAATTAAGGTAAATTAAAATCATCGCTCCTTGCTGAGAAAATAATAAAGCTTTGCTTACTCTTCTCGGTCACTTCCGGAGTGCCACATCTCGTTTTTTAAATAATTTAATATCTTAAACATCCAGTCATACAATATACAGTGTGATCACTCTTTTCAAATACACGATTTTCTAATTTTTTTAATGGAACACCCTGTATATTAGTATTGTATTTGCCGGAGACACAGTCTTGTAGGCGCATGCCACTCCCAACAGACTTATTCTGCCCACGTGTGTCATGAGCCTCATATAGGTCGTTATCTCTACCGCGTCGGTGCAGACTGGTGCCGCGTAGATGACGATCGGCTGTACAACTCCATGTAAGACCCACCTCCCGCACGTGCTTTTCCCCATTTTCCATTTTGGTGTAATGTCACTCCTAGGTACTTTACTTGTTTCTTGGGTGTTAGATATGCTTCCGCACATTTTAATTCAACACTTTGCCTGTTCCTATTCCCCTTCAGAATGATGGGTTCGGTTTTCTCTGCCGCAAGTTTCGGCATTTGAGATCTGACTCATCCCGGACCACTCACAGTACAGCGAGGTCATCCGCGAATGCGAAGGGGGTTGTACCCTCTTCGTATTCACAGTGCATAACCCCGTCATATGTCAGGTTCCACAGCGTCGGGCCGAAGACAGATCCCTGGCCGTCACTTCCACGATCGTGCCCTTTTCCACCATAGACCATTACCTTCATTACCTCTTTTCACTGCAGCGTATTGAATGCATTCTTAACATCAAGCAACAGCAGGGCCGACCAGCGATGTTCATCCCCTCTGTTTCGCAATGCTTCGAGTACACTCATGATTGCATCAATCGTGCTTTTCCCTTTACAAAAACCAAATTGTCTCCGAGATAAACCAACTGGCCTCTCTGTCATGTCGTCTATACGTACTCGCATCCTTTCATACAGCTTAAGTACAGTATTAACCTCGATGTTCTCCAAGGCTCAGGAAAGGTTTGTGCTTCCAGTAGTGCATTCATGTGTTCCAGAAGACACGCAGGCTCCGACCGTCCTAGAGCCTTTATCGCCTCAGGTGGTATCTGATCCAGTCCGGGGGACCTATGCGTCTTGAGTGAACCCAATGCCTCAACAAGTTCATCCATGGTAAAGGGTACAGTCCGCTCAGCTCCTTCATCCCTCCATACACCATGCCATCTGCCGTCCGGCATAGAATTTATATACCTAGCATGTTTCGTTTTGTAGATATTTAGAGAAGTGTAGATTTTATTTCTTGTTTTTGCAGTTTTTTTATTAATAAATTTTGTGTTCCTACTGAAATACAACAAACAAAACTTATGATCTAATTTTATAAACATCAAAGATTAAAAAAAACATGCTATTAAAAAATAGCTAAATTTAATAACTCATTGTTACAAAATAATATTTACCAAATTAATAAATGTAATCCATATCCATAAATTAGTTATTAAATCAATAGCAATCAAATCAACAGCCAATTTTAAAATCTACCTTAGTGATATTGAGTAAATGAATAAATTTATGATTGCATTGTTTTACTAAATTTAAATTGTTTTTCAGGAAAGATCAGTTACATAACTTTTTAATGTCAGTATCTAAATTCTGAGAACGCTTTAAAACAAAAAAAAAACGTTAAATGTATGTGTCAAAATATTTATTAAAATAAATAGTGTCTACTTGTGTTACAAAAGTTGGTAATATTGTTGTAGTTGCATATTTGTAACACATTTTTATATATGAAACTTTAAACTGAAGAATTGCTGGACTTGATACTAGATACTAGATTTAAACATTTATTATTAACAACGAAAATAGCCAAACACAAAAAATAAAAAAGAAAGGAATAACACCAGCTTTCCGAACAAATTACAACCTAGGCAAATATATCAAAAAGAATAAGAGCCAAAATAAAAAACACACACAGTGGTGTGTACAAACTTGTGGTGACTGTCCAAAAACTTACATCGGTCAAACTGGTAGAAACTTTAATAAACGAATAGCAGAACATAAAAGGGCTTTCAATAATAGAAAAACAGATTCTACACACGCACTTCACCTTCTAGATCACAACCATTCTTATAATGACGAATTTAAAATTCTTCACATTCAAAATAAAGGCTTTAAACTATCCTTGTTAGAATCTACGGAAACCAACAAATTAAAAAACAGATATAATTCTTAATGACCAACTTGAGACAAACAGTTCTCCCCTCCTCAACATATTTGATTAGAGACTATAAAGTGTAAACGCATGCCAAAAATAGATCACTTGAGAAAGGCAATCAGCCTAAACAGCTGTAGAGATATGAGGTTAAGATAAATTTTGTGCAAGTTTGAAAACAAAGTTTTCAGTGTTTTTCTCCACGGCTTGTCTTTCTGATTTTGGCCCTCCAAATTGTTAACACAATGTAGATTGTTGCGAAGTTTGTAGAATCTATTTATATACATTTTCTCGTTCAAACAACCAGTAATTATGTGTAATCCAAAGAAAGTTTTCAGTTCTTTCAAATTGGTTGGTGAGAAATATTGTCATTATTCTGAAGCGCGTAAAAATAACGTCATTTTGAAGGTTTTTATATGACTTATAAGTTTCCTCTCTTCTAAAATTTGTTTAAATTGCTTCACTTTTTGCTGATAGACGGAAAAATCAAAAATTTTCCGTTTTTTTTTACCTTAATTTGTTAATAATTAATTAAGTCCAAAAAATCGACTGCAGGAAACATTTAGGTTTTTGCTAGAGAAGTCCATACTACTCAAAACAACTGTCGTTTGCCTGGCCGGACCAGTGTCAAAAACAGGGTACTTTTTTTGATAATTTCTCTGGTCTATCAGAGCTGAAAAGTTACATCCGTAGAGTTGTGTAACTAATCTTCAAAATTGTTTAATTAAAATAAATACAGCACCTAATTTTTACCATAAGTACCGGTAGTAATTGTACATATTTTGTTAATTTTTTAGAGATCCTCAAGGCAAAGAAGGTGGTGAAATCATCCTAGGAGGGTCCGATCCAGAGCATTACAAAGGAGAATTTACCTATCTGCCAGTCAGCCGTCAAGCTTATTGGCAATTTAAAATGGATCAAGTAACTGTGGGTGACAAAACATTCTGTAGTGCAGGTTGCCAGGCTATCGCTGATACTGGTACCAGCTTGATTGCTGGACCTGTAGAAGAGATGACTGCCATCAACAAGGTAAATAATCTTTTTGTATTCTTCTTCTAGTTCCATGACCGTTATCGATCGTTTATCATGTTGCCTACCATATTCGCTATCGTAACTTTATTGACAGCAGCTCTAAATAACGATGTAGTTGATTTTCCGTACCATTGCCTTAGATTTTTCAGCCATAATGTTCTTCTTCTACCAGGACCACGATTACCTTGGATCTTTCCCTGAAGGATCAGATGTAAAAGATCATATTTTTCAGGGTGTCTCATGTGACCGAAGTATTCCAGCTTGCCTTCTTTATTATATTGACCAGTTGTGTTGTTTGGTTCAGCCATCTAAGGACCTCCTCATTTCTAACTCTGTCGACCCAGCTTATTTTCAGTAGTCGTCTCTATACCCACATCTCAAAGGCTGTCAAGCGTTTAAGGATAGCCTCAGTTAGAGTCCACGCTTCCACTCCATACAGCAGGACAGGAAAGATGTAGCAAGATGTCATTCGAACTCTAAGGTCAATGCTAAGATCGAGACTGCAAAGTACGTTTCTCATTTTTACAAAGGCAGCTCGGGCTTGTTCTATTCTGCTCAGATTATTTAGTTTAGATTAGGCTATCATATTTAAAAATGCATTAAATGTATAACCTTTTCAGGCTATTGGAGCTACACCAATTGTAGGAGGAGAATATATGGTTGATTGTCAGCTGATCCCGAAACTCCCAGTTATTAACTTCATTTTGGCTGGTAAAAGTTTTCCTTTGGAAGGAAAAGATTATGTATTGAGGGTAAGATATTTTTTAAGCATACAAAAAAATTATAAAAATCTTAAGCAGGATGTCGAATAATTTCAAAAGTCATACTTTGGACTTCCAACAGATACGATTTTCTACAGTTCATAATCGAGCAGATAAGATTGAAGGCAAACGTGCAACAGGACAAAGACAGTGCTCCTGGCTTAAAAATATACGAGATTTGACAGGCTTGGACTCGAATGATTTGCTGAGAAAAACCTAAAAGAGAGAATAATTTTTTAATAATTTTAATTGTTTGCCGATCTTTGATACAAAAAGGCACTCAAAGAAGAAGAGTGTTCAGTCCAAATCTCAACTTTGTAGTAAAGCACCCTGTGGAATATTTTAGCATTCGTAGAATACTGAAATTAAATCGTAACTATAGCGTCATGATTTCTCAACATTTTGTTTTTTGATTGATTCGCTTATATTGGATAATACAAAAGTTAGGTGCTTTAACAACTAGACAAGTTTTTATCAATTTTTATCTCCGCGGAAGAGAAAAAATAATCTTTTTGAAAAAAAAAAAAAAGTCATTTGTTATAGTAAAAATCCAATGTATAAAATCTTCGAAGAAAATTCGAATTAACAATATTTTGGAAATCAAAGTCTAATTGAAAAAAAAATTAGATATCAATAATGGGTGTTGCCGCCTCTAGCCCTTAGGACTTCTTGGAGCCGGTTTGGCAATCCACTCATGATATCCTGGATATCAGATGGGGGGATATTGTGCCACTACCGGAGGTGTCTTCAGCTCTTCAAAAGATGCAGGGGCTGGTACTCTTGCTCTTACCCGTCTTTTGAGGTTGCCCCAGATATGCTCAATTGGGTTAGGATCGGGACTGTTTGCTGGATATGGTAGAACTTGAATCCCGACCTCATCAAGGTACTCACTGGTAGATCTTGCTGTATGGCAACGTGTATTGTCATGCATTAGTCTGAAGTTATTACCAATGAATTATTATAAATAAATACCTCCCCAAATCATTATTTACCCTCATCGGTAAGCCACTGTTTCGGTTATAGCGCATTCAGCAAACCTTTCATTTTGACCCATATAGACACGTTGGCGTCCATCTGGACCTTTTAGGGCTATTCTGCTCTCATCTGAGGACAGTATATTCTTCCATTCCGCCATAGTCCAGTTAGCATATTCTCGCGCAAAATGAAGTCTAGCCCTACGGTATTGTGGGAGCAGTTGTGGTGCGCGAGCTGGACTAAAAGCTATAAAGTTTATTTCTGACAGTCTTATTCTAACCGTTTGTCTACTCACACTAACGTTTCTCACATCAAGAAAATACCTACGAGCTTCAGGAGCGGTGCAAAAGCGATTTCTCCATACTTTAGTGACAACGAAGCGGTCATCTCGAACTGAAGTGCATCGTTTTCGACCTTGACCTGGCCTGCGGTTGTTACGATCCTGTCTCCCGAAATCGTCTGATGGCATCTTGTACCACAGTTCTAGGTACATCGAGTATACCAGCGATATGACGTTCACTGTAACCAGCATCAACTAAATCCACTGTCCTAGCAGCATCAGTTGGAACGAGTGGCATTTTTAAAATCACAAACAATAAATAAGCACTAAAATTTCAACTTAAACAATATTCGCTCACAATGATATAAAATTACAATTTTAATTGTTAATTTTAATTACAAATTGTTCAAGAGTTGTTATTAACACGGAAACAGATTTGCAACAATGTCGTACAACGACTATATGTCAAAAATCCTTCGATGACACAAATTTAGGAAACAAACTGTCACATGTAATGTAAACAAAACAATAATAAAGGTGGTGGGGTTAATTTTGCTGATGAATTAAATCGTCTGTATAACTATCTATCTGATAACATAGCGAGTTGTTAAACTACCTAACTTTTATATTATCCAACATAAACAAATGAATAAAAAAACAAAATGTCGAGAAAACATGAGGCTATAGTGAGGTTTTAATTTCAATATTTTATAAATGCTTGAATATTCCATAGGGTGATGCAAAATTTAGGAAAAAAACACAGTTTAATTCGTACGTACACCCGGTATACAACGAAAATCTACCTGTTTAGCAACCATATTATTATAACGATATTGTCAAGGAATAAGGCTATAACATTTGAAAAAAATCACTTAAATCTGACAACAGGTTTAGAAGATAAGAAATAAAAAACTACGCATTTTTAAGGTGGGCGGTTAATTTTGACCCAGAGTGTATTTTAGACCGGATAAACTGATCTGTCTTATTTATTTTCTGTTTTATTGAATTCAAATAATAGTGATTAGTAATAAATTACCACCACACTCCAGTTAAATCTTCGATTTGTCTTTAGATACTTCTAAATATTTTCACACATTTTTTAAAAAGTTTTCTGCCTTACAAAAGATACATTATATGTTCACTTTTTTACTTCCAGCCCTGTATACATGACAAAGTGAATTTAAAATTTTTGTTCTAGGTTTCTCAGATGGGCAAAACAATCTGCTTGTCTGGATTCATGGGAATCGATATTCCCCCACCAAACGGTCCACTGTGGATTTTGGGAGACGTCTTTATTGGTAAATACTATACCGAATTTGATATGGGCAACAACCGGGTTGGATTTGCTGAGACCGTTTAAAATTTATTAATAAATCAATATTTATATACTATTATATAAACAAACATTGTGCATACTTGTTAATATGTGTAAAATAAGACTTTTTTAGTGCACTTTGGAATTATTAGTAGCTCTCTTAGTTATTTTCGAATAAAATAGTCAATAATTGTTACTGAATTAGATTAATGATTGAATAAAACTTTTAAACCCTTTTATTCTCCTATTCTTTAACCTACCGTGACTCGGGGTGAATCCGGACGATTTTCGCGGTTTTTTGACAATAAATCGTTTAAAGTAGTTTTAAAAAATTCCAAAAAAATAGTTTAAATACTTTAATATCTCCAGCTTAAGGGATTCTGATAAAAGTTTTAAAATTTTACTGCCACACTTTAATTTTTTGGGTTATTTAGTGTCCGAATTCGCTCCTACGTGTGGGGTGAAACCGGACATAGCATTATTTTGTATTATAAATCGTATTCCCCTATAATAGGGGTTATTTCGGACAGAAAAAGATAAAAAACTTTCAGACAGAAAAAGAAATAAGATAAAAAAAAACATTTTAAATTTGAAAAAAAATTATTTTGACAAAACAGCATGAATATAAACTAAAACAGGGCTCCTTAATTTTAAACACGTTCTATAAAATAAGACTAACAAAAAAACTCAAAATTCCACATTTAAACTAAAAACTAAAAAAAAATTATTCGATTCAAATATTTTCCATTCGTAATAGAATGGGAAATTGGTATCTCTGACGTCTCATATCCGTCACTTTTTCAAGAATTTTAAAAATTTGACTCTTCTCAATTACACTTTCATCTTTTATTTGAGGATATGTAAAATAGACCTCCATTTTTTCTAATGTTTGCTTTCTAAGAAAATTGACAAGATAAAGATTTTTCTTCTTATCAATTACCTCTGTAACATTCCCAACATAATATTTATCTACATTCTTTGGGGAAACTAATTTAACAAGTACAAAAGTATTAATGTCTATAGAACAATCGGTCTAATCCATTTCAATTTGTTCACTTTCAACCTCAGCCTTTTTTTCAGTCTCATGCTTTCCTCACTAGTTGTTCTATATTCTTCAGTTTCCCTTTCTTCTCCGATTAATGGTTGTTCTAAATCTCTTACGCTTACCCCTTTACGTGCAGGCACACGGGGCACCTTTCCCCCGTGTTTCTAAAAAGTTCTTGGGTTGCACTTGGTCTACTTTCATGAAGACAGTTTTGAAGAGTGTTGCTCCAGTGGTCGTGGTATTTAGTTTCTGAAGGTTCACTAGCTGGTGACTTTTTGATGACGTCGTCTGACTTAATGGAATAATTCTGCAAGATGTTATTATCTTTGATATGAACAATGGCTTTTTTCAAAAGCCCAGGAAACTCAGACTTGGGAATACATCCTCTATTTTTGGTTTTCAATTCGGTAAGGGTATTTCGCCACGACTTTTTAAATGGAGCAAAAAAAGATGTCTAGCGGCTGTAATAAACGGATGCATTTGCAGGATGCAGTGTACCGATTTGTACATCACATATGGGGCTAAACGTACACCTGATCTGCTGATACCCATCATAACTGATGTGCTGGCTTTGCTCGAATCCATTATTCTTTCGACGCTTTTTGATCCGCGGCGGCACTACACTTTTATTCTACCCGGGTCGTCAGTTAAATTAGTTTCGTCGTAATTGACAATGTGAGACGGGAGAACGTCTTCAATTTTGTTTTTTAATCTTTTAAAATAGTTTAAAACTTTTTCTCTTGTAACATTTTGCCCTGTACCGCTTTACATTTTGGGCCATACGTTCTGTTAGGACATTATTTCTCTTAAGGAATGTATAAAACCAGTCGATCCCGGGTAGATTGTTCTTAAAAACTTTAATAGTTTGTCCTTTTTTTGTCCTCATGGACGGATCATGGGAAACTCCCATTCACAAAATTTTGTGATACCTTGCGCTATCATTCTTTCTTCTTGTGCACTAAGAGCATTTTGTCCACCTTGTTGAAATGTCGATTTGCCTTTGAGTCTATCATGCTAGGTGAATTTTGGTACACGATAATATTCAGCAGCTTGTCTTAAGGTTTTCATTTTATTCCTAACATCAGAAATAGCTCTCTCCATATTATCTGAATTGTATGTAATTCATGAAGTTTACACCTACTTTCTTTTTGTACTGTCGCACCATGGTGTCCAGATTCGCCCCACTAAAAGACAAATTTTTGCAAATTAATTTCTAAAAAAAACTAGGCTAAATACAACTGTAATATTTTATACATAGATTGTCAACAAACCACTAAACTGTTTGTTGCCACTCCCTAGCTCTTACATATAATTGCTTTGCTTGTATAGCAGTTTCTTTTTAAGATTAAAAAAAGCCTGAACTTTAAAGGTTATAAAATACGTACCGATGAGTCAACAAAACGTTACGATGTCAGTACACCACTATATCTCGACTACTAACTCAGACCCGACAAAATTCCGGTACAAATAGTTGATTTGTGAGTTCGCGCATTGGTATCAGTGACGTAGAAGTAGACAGAGGCGGCTTTGTACGAATTCGCCCCTACTGTCCGGATTCACCCCGAGGTATGGTACTTAATATGAGGATACAACATCATCATTCTCAGCGTATTCTACCGTTTATAGTGCTGCCCTGTTGCCTCCCTTACATAATCGTTCTCCATTTCTGCTCACAATTGTGTGATATTTGCTTCTCTGGGTCGTGTTGTGCCTGCTTGTTTCTTTATATCATAGTCCAACCTTAAGTTTGCACGTTGTCTTGGTCTCTTGATGCCTCTTGGATACCACAGTGTAATTCTAGAGGGCCATCTATTATCAGTTCTTCTCGTTAAATGTCTTGCCCATTGCCATTTTATAGATTTGATTCTGTCGATTACATCAGTGACCTGGGTTTTCTGCAGCGGCAAATATACGGGGCGAATAGGGAAATTCCCTCAAAGGTCCAAAATTAAAGAAAACCTATTATTTATAATGCGAAATATCTGGGTATCCACACAGACAATCACCTTAATTAGTATCCTCGAACTCGAGTAAAACTCACCACTCAGAAGATTCTACAAAGTTCATGCGCTGATAGAACAGAAGAGAAAAAAATTAACAAACAATGTGTCTATTTTAACACCCTGGCACTGGCAGGGTGTCTATACTGTCCAAGATATGGAATTTTAAAAATTTTAGCTCTTTGTACATAAACATCAGGCAAGTGGACAGAAAATATGTATATTGGAGATAATACACACTAAAAAGCAACCAAGCCAAATAATAAAATTGACATCACGTGTTTTGAATGAAATTTTACAGAAGGTTCTACAGGATGTTGTGTGTCAATATAACTACATATTTATCAACACTTTCTTTCTCATTCTTATTGATTGTAATGGCTTTCTATTTCTGTTAAAGTGTTTTCCACCTAGGAAGACCGCTTTGAAATTAAATGTTGGTAACTTTATTACTAGATAAGCGGCGATATATTTTACACTACCTTTATGAATAACATTTTACTTCTCTGTTGTTTCAATCAGCACTGCTCAACAAGTTATCGTTTATTGGTTTTAATATTTTATTGCAATGGTACGAGTACGAAATATTTATTTAAACAGTGAATTTATTTATTAATTTCTTCTGACTTATCGTATAATGTAGGTTTACCCAATAATCAAAGTTATGCCTTTACAAGAACATATTTGAAAAAGAAGGAGTACCATGTGCCATAATAATTGTAATCTCCTTTATACACACTTTAAAAATTTGTTTAGTAATGTATTTCTTAAATCCACACAATCATTGGAAAATGATTCATGCTATTTAAAAATATCTTTCTGTTAACGACAAAGTAGGTCAAATTCAAACTTGTCATCATATTACACTTCTGTTTATTGTTAAAAATTAATTGATGGTCGTAGGTTGTATTGGTGTTGTTTAATAATTTAGCAAAATACATAATCAGCAAAAATCTTATTTAAAAACATGAGAACGGTTTTTGCAATCACAATCAATGCAGTGTTTATGTTTGTTTGGCATTGGCTGTGTAATAATTTGATTGTTTCGTCCGTTGTAAAACCCTCGTCCTTTTTAGGGTGTATATAAGTACCTATTTTTTTATAGTAGTGTACTGAAGCGGTTCTTTAAAGCAAAATGAGTAATTTGGAAAAAAATAAAAATACCGTCGAAACGTAGAGTGTTTATCTCCAGAAGAACGCTGCCTAGTTCTGAAAGTCTAAAGTTATTTCAGTTTGGAAAAAAATAATATGAGTGAGGATTGAAATAAATAAAGTAAGCAAGAGAAATCGTCGACATCCAAAAACTTTAGATTTGCACCAGTCAATTAAACTTGTAATTAAAAATATTATATATAATATGTATAAAGCCAAAGAACATGTAACAATTAGTGCCGTGCTACAAAAAGACAAGGAACTGTGTGATATTAATTTCTGGAGAGTGCTGAAACATTTAGGTTTTCGATATAAAAAGACAAATAATAGACAAGTATTTTGTGATCTCTAATGTTGTTTCAAAACGGTGGCATTTTTTAAGAAAATACATGAACAATAAACCGTCTGATAGTCCGAGGCAAGTTGTATTTTTAGATGAAACTTGGATTTTCGCTAAAGAAAACATGTCAAACTGATCCTGGCAAGATGGCACCACGAAATGTTATTCTTCTAGTCGTTCCAGTAGTGGTAAACGCTATATTATACTTCATGCTGGAAAATGATAAAAGTGTTATTCCTGACGCTAGTTTAATATTTCGTTCATAAAGAATACAGGTGATTACCATGGAAATAAAGATCAAAATTTTTTAAAGAATGGTTTGAAGAAAATTTGTTAAAAAAATTGGAGCGACCATCTATAATAGTGTTGGATAATGGATCCTAACACTCAAGAGTGGAAGAGAGATTTCCTTCAAGCAGCTGGACAAAAGAAGAAGTAAAGTTGTGGTTGATAGAAAAGACAATTTATCACAGTGACATATTTTTAAAAGTCTATTTGCTTCAAAGAT